TCACGCCAAACATGTCATCGCAACCACTCGTCAGTCGTCTCACCCAGAGTTGGATCAATGAAAGAGACAAACACCCGAATAGACTCCATGTCCTGCAACTGGAGGGCACTAATTATAACAGTTTCCCTGAGTTTGTCAAACAAGTCGAGGCCATAGTAGGTGACCAGGGTATAGATACCCTGATAAATAACGCAGGAATCGCTATTAAAAAACTTCTCGATGGAGTGACCGCTGAGGATATGCTTAAGAATTTTGAAGTGAATTCTGTGGCACCGCTTATGTTAACCAAAGCATTGCTGCCATTGCTTAAGGTTTGTCTGAATTACTATCTATTAAACATAACTATACTGACCAGATAAATTTATGTCAAGTTCAACACCCTAATTCCAGGGCTGTTCCGGTCAAACCGGGACCTCTGGTCATCCTAAACATAACAAACATTTTTTATGATTGTTCATTTTAAAGATTTAATGCCTAAATTATTTTTATCAAAGGAATATTTTTAAATAACAATTCTTTTTATTTACTCTGAGATTAGTACTAATTGTATGTACACTATTTTATTTGCACATAAGGTATCGGCGTCCAAACGTAAAACTGCTGTAATTAACATATCGTCAGGTCAAGGGTCAATAGCCAGGGCCAATCACACACCCCCTAACCCATGGAGGAGTATGTATCCCTACCGCACGAGTAAAACAGCACTCAATATGATCACCAAATGTCTGGCGGTTGACCTCAAACCACACGGTATTCACGTGATTTGTATGAGTCCAGGTCACCTGAAAACTGATCTAGGTGGGCCTACCGCTGATTTGGAAGTGAGCACCGGTGTGTCGGGCGTGTTAAACGTAATTAAAACCCAGATCACCGATGATGTGTTGGGTAAATATATACGATATGAAGGCTCTATACTTCCGTATTAATTAGTAAAAGTTAAAAAAATATTGATTAGTTTTTGACAATGTTCAAACAATTACAAAAATACTGTACTTGTATACATTGTGGTATTGATATATTCCACTAACATAAATGTTTAATATATATATATTGTCTTACATAATAAGAATAAATTAATTTACATTTTACTGTCGTGCATGCAAACACCATTAAATCGCATACAGGTCCCATTAGGTAGCTCCCTGTCCACACTAGATCCCATGTCAAGCATATAAAAAATATTCATATTATATAAAAAGTTATACTTGTACTCGCATTTAACAAATAGACTTACCTATTATAATAAGTATCTAGTAAAATTTTAACTATATACGATGTCCAATGTGTGCCACACTTAGGGTATGTCAACAAAATGCGATCACCATATGGGGCAGGTACATAGTTTTTTAAATACCTACATAATTGGCGCTCATACACCACACCATTAATATGGTCACATT